GCTTGCCTACCACCCAGGAAACCCTGGGTTTGATACCTGATGTCCACTCTTAGTACGGTGTAAGCCAAATGTTTATGGACTGGCACACATCAGTAAGTCCAGCACAAGGAAAGTGGGGTAGAAAAGCCCGGTGTTTCATCCTCGGCTACGTCAGTAAGTCCAGCACAAAGGAGGTGGGGCAGGAAAGCCCGGTGTTCAGGGTCATCCTCTGCTACATAGTCAGATGTGAATGAGAACCTGTTGCAAAAAACAAGCAGTTTGAGAGTTCCCAGATAATTGTTTTAGAAGGCCCTTAGCAACACTAATTGTACCCACAGGTTTATTTATATACATATACCTACATAGATACACATACACACACGAGATTAAGAGTATACATGTTTACATGTGAGAGACACAGAGAGATCATGAAGTTGGGAAGGGAATGGAGGGCAGAGGAGGCGTTGAGAGTGGTGAGCTTGGGGGTGGATTTGATCCAAACAGTGCACTCGTGAATGAAGGAAAAGATTAAAGCAGAGTGGGTCACTGAAGATCTGTGGCTGGCCTGCTCTAGATAGTTTGTTCTGGAATGACCTGGGCTACAGAATGAGATTCTAGCTAAAAAAAATAAACCAAGAACAAAAAAACCTTTTATTTATGTTCTGCTTATTTCAATGCTGAAGATTAAACCAGGCAAGCACTGTGCCAGTCTTCCCTGCCCTCCAGCTCTTAAATACACCTGTTTTCTCTTGTTGAGATGCTGTTCCACTGTGGTACTAGAGTAGCTTCAGACTCAGGACCCTGCATTTGTAGCTTTCCGCGTCACTGAGATCACAGGTGGAAGCTGCCACATTCACTTCTGTTGCCCAGTGCCTACCTACATCTCACTACTTGTAGGGTATATCCAACTCATCAGGTTTGTTTGAAATTCCATTACTTGGTCCTTCATTAAGCTAATACCTCCAGAAAGTGGGATTTGGTAGGTAGAGATCTTTGTTTTTCCCCCTCCCCTGGAAAGAGTAATTGCTGTTAAACTAAGACTTTAAATTCTTTTCCCGCATATTTCTGGTGTAAGAAGTTTTCCTGCCGTGGCTCCTACTTGTATTTTACAGTGGTGTCATGAAAGACTGAGTTTAGTTTGCCAGTATAGATGGGCTTAAAGGAGCTAAACCTTCAGGCCGTTGCACCGACGGTGCTGAACCTCGTCTGGACACTCTGTTCAGTATAGTTTGAAACGTGTAGGGTTTTGTTCCCACCGTCCTAGGCTGTATTCTTCCTTCCTTCTTGGCGTTTCTGGTTTGTAAATCTGGCTGAGCCTGTCTGTGCTGTTGCGGCTGCCTGAGGGCACAGTGAGTCACTCCCGTGACCAGCCCTGCAGGAGATCAGGAGGCTCAGGCTCATCTCACCTTCTCTCAAGACATGACGTGAAGCAAGTAATTGAAAATATAACAGGCCTTGGGTGGAAGAAAGTATTGGTGCTAAACCATTAGAAAAACCCAAGCTGGAGAGATGGCTCAGCAGTTAAAAGCGCTGACTGCTCTTCCAGAGGACCAGGGTTCAAGTCCCAGCACCCACACGGCCACTCACAACTCTAACTCGAGATCGAGGGGATCCAGCACCTTCACATAGACATACACGTAAGCAAAACACCAGTGCACATAAAAAATAAAAAAGAAATCATCAAAAAATAAAAAGAATCCCCAAACTCACCTAGAGTCAGGTATGTAACTCAGTAGATATGTATTTCCTAGCGTGTACAGAAGACAAGAAGGGAAGCCCTCCCTTTGTTGTTTGTGTTTGGATTCTGGTAAGGAAATGGAGCTAGCAGATTGAAGAGGTGCGTATGGGATAGACATGTGTAAAGAGGTGTGATCTGGGCATGGAGCCGGTCCATTGGCTTGTAAAAGTTGTTACGGCTTCCAGCCGCTGGTCTCTGTGATGGCACAAAGGGAAATATGTTGGGATGTATTATATTAAGCCATATTAGCCAAAGGCCAGTGCCGTATTCCTAATGAAAATGAGAATTTAGTAAAATGATTCTTCAGCTACCAATCGATTTCAACAGGGAAAGAGACTCTTTGTTTTTATTTTTGATCTCCCTCTCCTTGACTCATACTTATAAATTTATTTTTTTTCTCAAAAGTATTGCTCGAGGTAAAACAAAGTCAATGAAGCTTTTTAGCCTAGAGCAGGTATGTGTGTACAGCAAGTGCGGCTGTATTAGGATCCAATCCCATTACATACCGTAGAGGAGCAGTTGGAGAACATCTCCAAATCCTAGGTCTTTCTTTTGTGGGTGTTGCTCTCCTACCTGACGGAATGTTGTGAAGAGAAAAGGAGGCGGATGATGGCACGGTGTGTGCGTTTTAATTGTCTTTGCTTCTGCCTCTGTAAACAGATGCATATGTATGTGTATTATTTGGCTATGCCTGTTTGGGTGGGGATCCTTTAAATAGTTTGGTTATGATTTGTTATGTTGTGTATCTAGGTTTTTTTTAATTGATATTTATTGAGCTCTACATTTTTCTCTGTTCCCCTCCCCACTTCAACCCATTTTGTTTTTCTTTCTTTCTTTCTTTCTTTCTTTCTTTCTTTCTTTCTTTCTTTCTTTCTTTATTTTTTACGACAGGGTCTCTTTGTAGTCCTAGCTGTTCTGAAACTTGCTGTATAGACCAGGCTGGTCTCAAACTCACACATGGCTTCTAGAGAATTATTTATAGGTGCATATTTGATTTGTTTATGAAAAGGAAGACTAAAATCACTAGAAGTAGGATTAGAAAATGTCAAACCTGGTTGGACGTGGTGGCTCATGTCTTTTTAGTCCCAGCCCTCAGGAAGCAGAGTCATTGCGAGTTCAAGGCTAGCGCGGTATTTCCTAGCGTGTACAGAAGGCAAGTTCCATCCCAGCTGGACTGCACAGTGAGGTTTGTCTCAAATAAACAGAACAAAAAAGAACTCTCAAACCTGTATGTGAAACAAAAAACTGAGGTTCCATCTCTTGTCAGGGACCTTCTTTGTATGTGATGAAAGTGGCCATGAAGTGATGATGGTTACTTGATGGGCCTACCAGAGAGAGACGCGCCGCAGCCTGGTGACGGCCACAGCTCTGCAGAAGTAGCTGGGGTGTTAGCATCTGTAGTTCCCGGCAGGCTTGGGGAGGAGTCAACACCCGGGACTCTCTAGCCTACAGTGAACTGTACCTGTTGCTCAGGTGTTTTCCTTGTAGGAGGTGGCTCAGAGGACGCACTGTTGTTTCTCTGTTTTCGTGCCTTTACTACAGTGTAGACAGAGGGCAACATGCTGTTATTAAATGTCTACTTTGTGTCTTTTTATCTTTGTCTTCACACAGACCCCAGAAGGTGAGGTTGTCACAGCGTTGCCTTTACAGATGAGCTGGAGTTTAGCGGGTTAAGTAGTTTCTTGGGAACTGTCTCTACTGAAAGGATTGGGAGGCTGAGGGGTGGGGAAAGACTTGGAACAGATGGGAAAGAAGTACTGTGGTCTCGACTGATGGACTAGCTTCTGAATTGTTGACTTTCGGATTCTACTTTTCCCTAAGTAGTCCATGAGGGATCTTACCTTTAGTTCTTTTTTACAAATACTTTTTAAGCTTTGGACACTATCAGCTAGGGGACAGTATGGTGTAGGCAAACATTCTGCTAGGTGTCAACAGGTGCAGTTCCCATAGTATCATCTATGATTCCTGCTAAAACCATAGTCTGGGCTGTAGAGATGGCTTGGTGGTTAAGAGCACTGGCTGCTCTTCCAGAGGCCCCGGGTTCAGTTCCCAGCACCCACGTGGCAGCTCACAACTGTCTAACTCCAGCTCTAGGGGAATGGACTCCCTCACACAGGGTATATATAGGCAAAACACCAGAGCACATTAAATAAGTCTTTAAGAATGTATTCCGGACCTGTGAGATGACTCAGAAGCTCAGACTGCTGCCGTGCCTCGGGACCCGAGTTCAATTACCACACGTGGATTGTGGCATAAGTACTCCCACGCATCGAATGCCACACAAAAATAATTAAAATACAATATAAATTTTAAAAATACTTAAATTTAAAAAAAAAATAGTTGTGATTTACACGTAAAACAAAATGTGGGAGACAAGCCCTGGTTTACCCAGAAAGTATCCTGGTGTGATCAAGGAGCATTAGGGTTGGTCGTGGTGTGTGCCTACATTCTCGACACGCTGAGGCTGAAGTAGAAGGATTGCTTGAGCCCTGGAGTCCTGACCAGCCCGGGCAGCATTGAGGTCACCATGTCAAAACACACATGACGTTGCTGGTTCTGAGTGCTTGAATTATTTCTAAAATCCGCTGTGAAAGCACTTGGGTTTTATGGAGTGCAGCTGAAGATAGGCTGTCCCATAGGGCTCTGTGAGTATTCTGGGTAAAAGCATGGGAATTGGGGGGCTGGAGGGATGGCTCAGAAGTTAAGAGCACTGGTTGCTCTTCCAGAGGTCCTGAGTTCGATTCCCAGCAACCACATGGTGGTTCACAACCATCTGTAATGAGATCTGGCGCCCTCCTCTGGCGTGCGCGCATACGTGGAGGAAGAACACTGTATACATAATAAATAAGTAGATATTAAAAAAAAATTTAAAAAAAAAGCATGGGAATTGTGCCACTGGTATTGTCAAGTGTAGACTGCAAAGTTTAGGCCTGGTCTTGACTTATCTTCAGGTTATCTGGTCATTGCCTTGTATGGGTAATGATAAAGAATTCGAATCAACTTGGTTGCTTTATGATTTGACCCAGAGTGCACACAGTTTTCTCATGCCTTTGTTGTTTTCTAAGTAAACAAACTTTTCTTATTGGTAATGCCCTAGGATGGGGTGATTTGAACTTTTCCCGCAAGACTACAGAGAGGGAGATATGAGGACTTCAGGTGAGTCCTGGCTGCTCAGAATCAGTCATGCTAAGTGTCCTGAGGAACTTCCCTGGCTTTCAGGTTAACCTCTGGCTAGTAGTAATCTGCCTTTACTTCTCCAGATGTTTCCTTAACAGCCCCCCAGGTCTAAACTTTGAGAAGAATGACTCCGTCTCCCGATACGGAGCCTCTCAAGTTGAAGATATGGGGAACATAATTTTAGCCATGATCTCAGAGCCTTACAGTGAGTATTGCCGTAGTGATTGATCTCGCGGCGCCGGGCTCTGATCGCTTTGCCCGGCTTTGCCGTCAGTAGCCAGGATGATGACTGTGTTTTCTCATTTTCAGATCACAGGTTTTCAGATCCAGAAAGAGTAAACTACAAATTTGAAAGTGGTACATGGTGAGTGGTTGTCTACTATTCCCTTGAACCTTAGACTTGTTCTTACTCATGGTTTTTGAAGTCCCTCTAGATTTTCCTAATTTTATTAAACCTTCTAGTTACCGTTCTTTTTGTTTGTTTGTTTGTTTGGGTTTTGTTGTTGTTGTTTTTTGTTTTTTTCGAGATAGGGTTTCTCTATGGCTTTGGAGCGTGTCCTGGAACTAGCTCTGTAGACCAGGCTGGTCTCGAACTCACAGAGATCAGCCTGCCTCTGCCTCCTGAGTGCTGGGATTAAAGGCGTGCGCCACCACCCCCCTGCTCTAGTTACGTTCTTATTGTCAAGTAAACTATTACTTAAAGCAGGCTTGTAGGTTGAGGTTAAAATTTGATGCCGAGTGCTGGTGTCACGCACCTTATCCCAGCACTCGAGAGGCAGAGGCAGGAGGATCTCTGTGAGTTTGAGGCCAGAGTGAGTCCCAGAACAGCCAAGGCTGTTACACAGAGAAACTCTGTTACAAAAAAAAAAAAAAAGAGAGAGAGAGAGAGAAGAAAGAAAAGAAGATTAAAATAAAATTAGAAGTGTTGGTGTATTTAATTACTTTAATTGGCTTAGGCATATGCTGTTTAATATATGATTCTTACATTAGTCTTCATGTCTGTCTAACCTTTCCAAAGAAAAATGATAGGATTTGGAAGTTGTGGAGCGATTGGAAAAATGATGGTCATCTCTTAAGGGTTCTTACTGCTCTTGTTGAGGACCTGAGGTTTGGTTCCCAGAGTCCACACCAGGCAGTTCACAGTAACTCCATTTCCAAGGGCTTAAATGCTGTCTGGCCTCTGCACATGGTGCACATAAATTCATGTAGGCTCACATACATGCACTTAAATAACAGTGGATCTTTAAAGGGGTTTTAATGTTCCTGGGCTAAGTTACCTATGTACTATAGTAGCTCCTAGGGAGGAGTCTGGAATGGTATCTCAGTGATCATAGGTAGATGTGGCTAAACTAGTCAGTCACTGTCGTGAGACTGTCTGGCACCTGGTGATAACCAGAAACTGCCGGTTTTGCTGTCAGAGAGACCTTAGCACTGAATTTTGTTGTAGAGAAAGAGACTCAGTAGGAAAATGTCCTAGGATTAGTGAAAATATGGATGGGAGACAGACCTTCAAAGGGTCGAAATATATAGTGGATGCTTTTCATGTGACTCACCAAGGTGTGGAGACTCCCAAGTGTTTCCATAAACACCCTGTGTTGCCTGGCACTCCCCTTTGCCAAAGGAGACACTTACACAGTCCTCTGACCACACGCTCACACTCCAGGCGTGGGTTAATTGTAGCTCCGTTCCCATCCTTGCTGCCAGGCTGGATTTAACTCCCACACGTGTGCTTGATACCTGTGAAAAAAAGACACTGCTTGACCTCATCAGTATGGTGTCTCAGGCTAGGAATCTTAGTACTTGGAAGACTGAGGTAGGAAGTTCTCAAGTTCAAGGTCCTTCAGGATGATTTATTGAAGGGCTGTCTCCACGGACAAAGAAAGAAACCTTCTTCCTTCTAGGTCAGGCCGTAAGGGTTTGGAAAGAAGTTGCTTCCTGTAAACTGATCTGAGATGCTTTTGAGTGCATAGCAGGCGAGGAGCTACGCAGCTGATAGACGTTTTCCTAGATGAGCTAGCTATACTAGACCTACAGCCAGCCATCTTTCTGTAGTGACAGGACAGATTTTTGTGCCATTTCCAGACAAGTTGTGAGGGTCCGGAGAAGTTGGACCTGCAAGTCAGTCTGGTCTCAAAGGGAAGCAGGTCTCCTCCGTCACCACGCAGCCTGTTTGGCATCAACTACGCTACATGACGTTGTGTTTGGTTCGCAGCAGCAAGATGGAACTCATTGACGACAACACAGTCGTGAGGGCCCGAGGCTTGCCCTGGCAGTCTTCAGATCAAGACATCGCCAGGTTCTTCAAAGGACTCAATATCGCCAAGTTGGTTTTTCTTTGTTTCACCCCACCCCAGAGGAGTAACGGGTTTTCTGTGTCGTGTGTCCTCACTCCCTTCCTGCCCTCTGTTTTGTTTCCTTCAAAGGGGAGGTGCAGCCCTCTGTCTGAATGCTCAGGGAAGGAGGAACGGAGAAGCACTGGTTAGGTTTGTGAGTGAGGAGCACAGAGATCTAGCCCTGCAGAGGCACAAACATCACATGGGGAACCGGTACATCGAGGTACGCGTCACGGCCCAACACCCTGACCGCTGCACTTGACCGCTAATGTGCAATGGGTGGTTTAGAAATGGTTTTTATAATGTCTCTTTATTTTCTTAGGTTTACAAAGCAACGGGTGAAGACTTTCTTAAGATTGCTGGAGGTGGGTTGCTCTTAGGTAGTACATACTTCATTGATAACCTGAGGTTTTGCGCACACACTGCGAGTGGATTCCTGTGACCATAAATGCTTCTTTCCAAGTAAAACCTGGGGGCTGGTTTATAAATAGGGAGAAGAATTTTCCCATACTGCTGGTGAATTTAATGGTCTGTAACGTTTGCCCTAAGGCCTAAGCAAATCTACTATGCCTAAATAGCCATTGAGAATGAGACCATATACAGGTGAAAGGGGCACTCACGTACAGTTACATACAGAGAGAAAGGTAGTTCTTGAGAGAAATGTTTCTGAACTGTTGGAAGCAGCTGCCTGCAGTGCCTGAGGCTATTACAAGTCTATTTCTAGATTTTTCTCTCAGTTATTGAGCTCATCGGTGCTCAAGACCATGGTAGTTTCTTGGGGGGGAAATTGTCTGGATTTGGTTCTTTCTCTCCTTCTACCTTTATGTGGGCTCTGACGATTGAACTTAGGTCATCAGGTCCTGGTCTAGTATTTTTAGATATGTGGTATTCATAGAAATAAGAATAGAGGGGGAAAAAAATCTTTTTTAGGTTGTTGTTTTTGTTTTATTGTTTTTTGGGTTTTTTGTTTGTTTGTTTGTTTTTTGAGACTTTTTCTGTGGCCTTGGAGCCTGTCCTTTAACTAGCTCTTGGAGACTCCAGGGAGTCCTGGAGTTCACTTTGTAGACCAGGCTGGCCTCAGACTCAGAGATCCGCTTGCCTCTGCCTCCTGGGATGCTGGAATTAAAGGTGTGTGCCCCTGTGTTGCTACCACCCGGCATGTACGCCATGTCTTTGTACATCCCTATAGGACTCCTATAGCTTATTTTTACGTATGCTGTAAAGTTTTGTTTGTACTGTTCTTTAGGGTGGGTCTCCTTAGAACGGAAGCCGTCAATAGATTTTTGTCAAGGTGCCAGATTATGCTAGATCGGGACCTGATGACCTAAGTTCGGTCCCTTTAAATGTAAAGTCCTGTGTTGTGCAGCAGTAGTAAATCTCTTCGGTTGTCAGACTTTGTACAAAAGGATCCTCCTCCTCCGATTTTCTAGTATGCTTCTTTTCCTGCTACTTTCTTTGGCTAAATCCTAAGGCTTCAGAGTTTAAGACTTGACCTTTCTTCAAGTGTCTGAAGTTCACAGCATTGTTTGACATGGACGGGGCATAGATGGTGTATTTGGAGTTGCTGTGTTCGTCTGTGCCCCGGCCTTGGATGGTAAACTCTGCAGACTGGGACAGATGAACTGGGTTTCGTTGTCTGCCTAGTGTGACCAGCCGTGGTGTTAGCGGGAGCTGCAGATGTGCATTTCCGTGCACGCTTCCACATGCGCTGCTGTCCCGTGCTGCGCTTGGAGCAGAGTTGTTGAATGTGGGAACTGGGCATTTGCATTTTCATCATTCTCTGTGAAAGTTTCTTAATTAGAGGTAATGAAGCAATTATAAACACAATGCACTTTATTACCCTAATTCATTCTCCTAGTTTGCAGAGTTAACTTAGCAGATATAGACACTAAGGCATAGATAACTTGAATAAAGTCATGCCCTGGTAGACAGGATAGCTAAGATGTGACATTAGTGTTCTGGATCGAGGGTATGTGCCTTTGTTGTTGTATAGCTGGACATGGAACTCAAAGACATGTGCACTAGGCACAGAGTCTAGTACTGAGCTGGATCCCCTCCCAGGACCTGTGTGTCTGTCAGTGCCATGGCACTCTATTTGAGAAGAACAAATGGGTGACCACTGGTTTGTTTGGCCAGCTTCTGAAGTTCAGAGGGGTGTTTTATTTTATTTATTTATTTATTTATTGGTGTTTTTTTTTATTTATTTATTTATTTATTTTGGTTTTTTGAGACAGGGTTTCTCTGTGGCTTTGGAGCCTGTCCTGGAACTAGCTCTGTAGACCAGGCTGGTCTCGAACTCACAGAGATTTGCCTGCCTCTGCCTCCAGAGTGTTGGGATTAAAGGTGTGCGCCACCATCGCCCGGCTCAGAGGGGTGCTTTGGAAAAGTGCTGTGGGAAGATTCAAATCTGCAGGGACTCCTGAGTCCTAGGATATTATCATTATGAATCTAGTGGTGGTGCAAATCTTAACTGTAAATTCAGAACATTGCCAGAGGCCTCGGAGGAGGCTCGGCAGTAGAACGCCTCCTGATGGTAAGGTACCGGCTCTGCTTCTCAGCATCACACACACCATGTTGAGAATTTGCCTTTCTAAATTTGGTCATATTGCTATCTTAACTCTTTCTCCCTGTGTGTTCTAATACCCATTTTCTCTAGGGACATCCAATGAGGTAGCCCAGTTCCTCTCCAAGGAAAATCAGGTCATCGTCCGCATGCGGGGGCTCCCTTTCACCGCCACCGCTGAGGAGGTAGTCGCCTTCTTCGGACAGCATTGCCCTATCACCGGGGGAAAGGAAGGCATCCTCTTCGTCACCTATCCGGATGGTAGGCCGACGGGAGATGCCTTTGTGCTCTTCGCATGTGAGGAATACGCTCAGAACGCCCTACGGAAGCACAAGGACTTGTTGGGTAAAAGATACATCGAGCTCTTCCGGAGCACGGCGGCCGAAGTGCAGCAGGTGCGTGCAGGCTGTCCCAGGAGGGTGGATTCCTAAATAGAAATCACATAGACGAGAGAAAGAAGTTAATAAAAAATATTTTCAAACTGGCAAGGTGGTTCCTGAGGCCATTCTCTTTACTTCATTAGTGAGTTCAGAGTTGGGCTGTGAAGACAATATTAAGGGATGACTGTATGTTAAATGTACTTCATGAAATGAAGTTGAATAAATTACCACAAAAGCCCACATCTTGCAATATGTCTAGCTTTTTAAATACGTTTACCCAGATTGACACTGCCTAATGAGTACATTGTATTATACGGAGTATGTGCCTTAGTTTATTTTACTGTATTTATTTTTTTAAAGACGGCGTTTCACTATGTAGCGCTGGCTGGCTTAAAAATCGCTATATACAGCAGAGCAGCTTTAAATTAATGGGCAGCCCTTCTTCTGTATCTACTTCCTGAGGGCTGGGATAGCAGGCGTGTAGTTCCGCGCGTGAATTTACTTCATGTATTTGGCAGAAGTGGGCGTCGCGCTGTCCAGGAGATGCATGAGCCCCTCATCAGGGCTTCTCAAACTTCCTTGCCCTTATCAATCACCCAAAGGAACCTGAGAAACAGTCATATTTAATAATAGTTGTGTCATGGAGCCATGAGTACGCCCCACTGCATCCTTACCCCTTTGAGGATTTGATTGAGGGCCTCCTGTGTTCTGCTGTGTGCCATACAGCTGGTAACACACTCACTAGGGCCTGCAGGTCTAACAGGATTCTTGGTGAGGTTAGTGGTACTATGGAGAATGGGTTAGGAGCAGCAAGACTCTTAAGTACCTTGTGTTTTGCCTTTTATATAGGTGCTGAATCGATTCTCTTCAGCCCCTCTGATTCCACTTCCAAACCCTCCCATGATCCCGGTGCTAACTCAGCAGTTTGTGCCCCCCACAAATGTAAGAGACTGTATTCGTCTGCGAGGCCTTCCCTATGCTGCCACCGTTGAGGACATTCTGGACTTCCTGGGGGAGTTTTCCACAGATATTCGGACGCATGGGGTTCACATGGTGTTGAACCACCAGGTAAGTTAACTGTTAGAAAATGGGTTTGCTGTTCTGGGGGTCAAGCACGCCCCTCTACTAAGATATAAGTACAATAGTCCAAAATTGTACATTGTGTTTAAGAGAAGATTTAGCTGTATGTATAAGACATCTTTAAGATATACTCTAAAAATCCACCTGCTATTAGTGCGATTGTTGGAGTTCAGCTGTCCCATTATCAGCATTTATTATCAGTATACGATGAGTGTGTCCAGCGTTTCCTGTTGTAGCTGCTCAACTCTGCAGTTCTGGTGTGAGAGTGGCCACAGACCAAATGTAAGCAAAGAGCACACCAGTGTTCTGAAACACTTCACACCCACAGACGTGTGTGAGGCGTCCACTTGCACTCAGTAGAATGTGGACCCGGAGAGCTGCAGTCCTTAGCAGTCGGTGTGGATCTTCGTCTCAGCAGCAGCAGGAATAATCGCAAAGCTTTTCTACGAAAGACTGGATTCTTCCCTGTGCCGGGAAGCACTTACTTGCTTGGTGCTACTTGAGTTTTGGTTAAACAAAATTAATCCTGCTTAGGTGCCGGGCAGTAGACTGGTGTCTTGTGCTGTCTCAAGCAGGACAGAGTTCCAAATACTCACAGACTAAGTAGCATTAGATTAAAACTTAGCAAGTCTGTTAAAGCAAAGAATTTAATTTTGGACAACAAGCAATTTCTCTGCAGACTTAAGAGTAGAAATACTCATTTTTTTTCTGACTACTAATTTCCCACGTCTTCCCACTTGAGGGTCTGTTCACTTTTGTAATGATCTTCCTTTTTACTGGGCACAAGTAGTCACAAGCTCCAAGCCCTTGCACGGCCTTCTACACTAGCACATGTTCTTCTAACACTTTGTCTGTGTAAGCCCCACAACCTTTTTAATCTGACAAGTTAAAGCCCACTTTGCTGGTGGGCAGCTCCACTATTTGGCATCACTAGGGAATTATTTCTTTCAAGTTACTGTTTCCTAATAACCTTGGGGCCATTACCCTTTGATTAACAACAGTAGACAGATTTGCCTCTCATTTGACCTCCATGACCTGGGGGAAAATGCTCCTTTGATGATGGCTCTTATCTGTCTGGTAGATTTTGGGTTTTCATCATGGACTGGGTTTGTTGCTAATTTCCCTGGTATGGTGACTATTATGGTAACTTGCATGGTAATCATTTGTAAAACAGTATAATATTATAAATGTTCCCTAGGAGACTTGGAGAACTAACTTTAAAAAGAGCCCTATGAACTGCTCGTCTTTCCCCCTCCAATGTGGTTCAGATGATAAAATATTGCCAAAGTGTTTGATTTGTATATGTAGCACAAACAGAGGCTTGATTCCCCCCCCCCCCCCAGAGGGGAAATTTTGCTAACAAAAACTACCTCAGAGTACTTCTTTGAGTGGTTGAGAGAGAGAGGTTGCATTTTGGAAGGAATGGCTTCCCAGCGTTGCAGATGGCCTCTAGCCACTTAGTGTCATACCTTGCAAATCCCCGACTTACCCTCAAGATACCCTAGTCTCCAGCAGTGAGGGACAAGCTAAAAGGATGTGGCAGGTCAGAGAGGAAGCAAGACAGCCAAAGGAAACCACAGGCTTATTTAGTTTCCTGTTGGAAGATATGTTACTAGCTTTTCTCATCAAATGATATTTAATCGGATTTTTCAGAAGGGAGAAAAATCCACGATATAATCCTCCATTCTGAAGCTGCAGTCACAGCGAGCGAGACCTCTGGAAGCCCTGTAAATTTGACACTAACTTAGCAGAAACCCAAGGGATCGCTTTCAACCATGTCTCTCAGAACTGTTTTCGTCAAGACTTTGTAGGTCATTCTGGTGATTAGGGAACGAAGCCCAAATCAGATTTCAGCAGATCACACTGTCACCCAGATTTTGTGGCTACACAAGTCATATACTTGGGTGCTGGTCCCTTGGCATGCTTTGTGAGGGACATTTACTTCCTTGTTGAAGGAGACAGCCTCCTTTGTTTCTGCTTTTCCCCCGCACACTAGGGCCGCCCGTCAGGAGATGCCTTTATCCAGATGAAGTCTGCAGACAGAGCATTCTTGGCTGCGCAGAAGTATCATAAAAAAGTCATGAAGGACAGATATGTGGAAGTCTTTCAGTGTTCAGCTGAGGAGATGAACTTTGTGTTAATGGGGGGCACTTTAAATCGAAATGGCTTATCCCCACCGCCATGTAAGTTACCATGTAAGTTTGTCTTGGGTCTCTGCGCTCTTCTACGCTGTGTGCTGGTAGGTGCTTCAGCTGCTCTCTGCGACACTCGGTTCTTCCTGAGGCAGGCGAGAGGGTCACACAAGGCTTTCCCATCTGAAATCACTAGTATCTGGTAATCAGTTAAGACCTTGGTTGTGGACACCCATAATTAGAGATGCTACACATACCTCCTTTCAAATTATATTCTTGCTTTTCCAGTGATAAGCATTTGGTTTCTGAGGCTTAGTGTGCTCCAGATAAGCACTGACTCTGGGAAGCAACCTGGCTATGTAGATAATTTAATACGCATTTAAAGGTAAAATATACATTTGGCTGGATCCCTCCCTTTCTGTCTTTATTTTTTATTTATTCACCATTCTTTTACACGTTGAACTTTAAGAAGGATGATTTGATGCCCATTTTGGATTCTTAACTGTTTTGAGCATCAACTATGTCTTCAAAATGATACCCTGGAGAGCATGCCTGTCGCTGTCCAGGATATCCGGAATGAGCAAGTTAGTAAACCACATTTATATATAATAATGCGTAATTGATTTGGCCAACGTTTGATTGGGTCACAGGATCAGTGCTTAATTCCAAGCTGTGCTCTTGCTCGTTGGCAACTGGGTGCAAGCCGTCTGGAATCCTGTTGGAGAGGAATAAGCCCCGTAGTCTAGAAGCAAGGTTTAGTCAGTGGCTAAGGAAACCTGATGTTTCCAGACACGAGTCTCTTTTCAAAAAATGCAGTTTTTAACCTGCATGTTGGATATGTTTAAATACCTTGGGATAATAGTTCAAAGATAACTGGAAAGGGGCACCGGGTTGGTTTGCTGGGTTCTATTAGAGTGGGCAGTTCATAGGCATTGAGTTTTATTTTCAGCAAAGAGAGATCTGCGGCAGTTACCTTGTTCAATTGTTTGTAGAATGTCTGGTGGGGCTTAATCCTTTTTTTCCCGTTGGAATTCCTGAACTCTAATAATTCCATTTACCTGCTGCTTGCTGTTGGTGAATATCTAATAGTTTATTGTTAATGAGATACAAGGTTTTAGAAATTTGATTGAGTGTAAAAAAATACTTTATGGTAATACTTGAATGTCTTCTGTCCATAAATCACTGTAAATGTAACATTAACGTAATATCCTTTAGTGATTGTCCATCAAATATCATGAAACATTCCCCATTGTTTCGTGTCCAGTTTATTGTAGACTCGAGTTTAGAGACAAGGTTTCGCTATCTACCAGGCTGGCCTGGAGCTCAGTATATAGGCCATGTTGTCTTGGAGCTCACAGATGCTCCTGCCTCATCCTCCTGAATACTACTAGGACGATAGGTTTGAGCCCTAATTTTCACCTAGCAAAGGAGGAATTTTAAATCCTATTTCATGTAAAATTGTATTTCTGAAGACCTAGTCTTTATTAACAATTTTTGAAGACTATATTTCTGCAGCTGGGCAAATGGTAGTGCATGCCTTTAATCCCAGTACTCAGGAGGCAGAGGTAGGTGGATCTTGGTGAGTTTGAGGCCAGCCTGGTCTATAAATTGAGTCCAAGACAGCCAGGGCTCCTTTAACACAGAGAAACCCTGTCTCGAAAAACAACAACCAAAAAAGAATATGTTTCTGCATCTTTGGTTACTTTTAATGCTTTTCGAAAATGAAGACAAGATTTTTTCCTAAAATTTGGTCATGTTTCTTTGTAGCAGAAGAGTTGATTTCTTTAAAGGTCAGAAGTTTGGTGAACGTGTGCTTGTATTCTGCCCCTCTGGGCTGCCACCTTTAGGTGACTGACTGCCTAACTATACCACAACCACAAGACTTATAGAAATTGCCTGTTTTTTAAATCTAATCTCAAAGACTTAAAGCAATTTAAATATTGATGGGGCTGATATTTCCCACTGAAGACTTTCTTGATGAATTTGGCAAAAGAAAATGCTGGTAATGTCTTCATACCGTACAGCACCTTGTTTCACTAGAAGTCATCCGGACCTGATGGTGCTACCTTTGATGCCAGCAGGGAGGCACAGCACTTGAGACCAGGCTGGACTGCATATCTAGTTCCAGAGCAGCCAAGCTCAGGATCCCCCCCCCCCCCCTCCAATGCATAGATGCACCTGATTCTTCTCTTAGGAAAGTAAGAACTAGCCATACTGCCACTTGAGGAATGCCCAGGTCTTCTCATCACTTGTCAATTTTTATTTTACTTTTCTTTGTTTTGAAACAGAATATATGTTTTTTTTTCTTTTGTGTTGCTGGAGATGAGACTGAGGGTCTGCTCGTGCTGGACAAGGACAGTCCCGCCGAGCTGCAGGCTCACCCTCTGCTTGTGTCTTCATAGCATGTAGCATTTACATCATGAGTTTCTTGATGATTTTGCAAACCAGTTAGGAGCACAGCTACACGGTGTTCTATGGTGCTTCAGATCTTGGGGTTTGTGTGTGTGGTGCTGAGGACTGAACCCAGACCCTTCACATACTCCGTCACTGAGTATGCCATAGGCCTGACGTGTCTCACATGAGCGGAGTTTCCACTCACTGCCAGGTGGGATTGTACACATGTGAGTCCCACCACTAGGGAGGCTGAGGCAAAAGGGTTATGAGTTTGATGCCAGCCAGGGCCATATAATCAGACTATCTCAAAAGTTCAAGGGCTGCCGACGTAATTACCTAACGTGCTCAGAGCTGGGCTGGGCCCCTGGTACTGTAATAGATAAGTATATACATACGTACTTACTTAGATGTTGAACCGGAAGTCCATGATCATAACTGCTCACCATATTCTTCATAATGAAGGAGAAACTCTTTAAGAGCGAGGAAAGCCAAAATTCGTCTTGGAGATTTTCCTGTGAAGTTACCCCTTGGGGCTGTGCCAGTCACAGGATCTAATGGATCTCAGTCTGCTGACCCCAGATTTCTGTCAGCTGAGCTATCCATCTTCCATCCAGTGCATACGGTCTAGCTCGTGTGGTCAGGCTACTTGGGAAAGCTCGTGACTACCAGCAGCTCCAATGTAAGGGAGTCTGAGAACACGGAAAGTGCAGGGTAACTAGAAGATAGAGGAACTCCCTCTTCCTCCTCCCAGGGCCTAACCCAGGCTGAGCCCCTACCCCACCACTTAACTACACTCTCAGCCCTAGATTAAATTTGTTAAAAACTTGACCCACTTTTGTCTATGTGGGGTATGGTTTGGTTTAGTTTTTGGACACAGGGTCTCATGCTGTAGCCCTGGTGGCTGGCTTGGGACTTGATGTCATGACCATAACCCTAGCCTCTGCTTCTTGAGTACACCACCATGCCCAGCTCTTTCCTCTGGACTGTTTCCTAGTTGGACTTTTTTTTTTATAGGTCTGAAGGTGTAGATTAACTTCAAAGCCTAATTTTTGGATTGCCTTTAGGTGAAGATAATACACAGTTTATCTTATCCCCCGTGGAACAGCTTTAGTGTAATATATGGTACATCCTTTTATCCTAATCTCTTTGATTCATGTCATACTAAAGGGCAAAAACATCCAAAAAATTAGATGGAAGTTGCTTGGGATATAAAGAACTGTGGTGATTTTTCTTTTAAAATGTGTAGCTGAGGCCAGGGTGATGGATCAGCGTTAGGAGCATCACTGTTCTCGCAGAGGACCTGGTTTCAGTTCCCAGCACCCACATGGCAGCTCACAGCTGCCTCTAACTCCAGTGCTAGGGGATCTAACACCCTTTTCCGGCTTCCAAAGGTTCCTGCATGCACGTATTGTACACTGACTCACACAGGTACACACACACACACACACACACACACACACGAGTGATCTTCACAGATACGGAGGTGGAAGAGTGACCACAGCCCGAATGCTGGCACCGGTGGCAGCTGTTACCAGTGTGACTCAGAGCGTCTCTCTCCTCTCTGTTTAGGCCTGTCTCCTCCTTCCTACACGTTCCCTGCTCCTGCAGCCGTGATCCCTACCGAAGCTGCCATTTATCAGCCATCTCTGCTCTTCAGTCCCCGGGCACTGCAGCCCTCCACAGCATACTACCCGGCAGGTACTCAGCTCTTCATGAACTACACAGCCTACTACCCCAGGTAAGGCTCCACAGGAAGCGACAACAGGGGCAGAGACAAAGACTCCTTTGACAACCAGTGTGTGAGCTCACAAAAGAATACTGTCTCCCTTACTGAAGGTTAGCGTGGCCGGCCACAGCTTCCGGTCACATCTCTGACCAATGGGTCGAAGTTTATTTATTTGCAGTATGTGACTAGCACGGTCTTTAGGTTGCCCGTGAGTTCAGCTCTCCCGGCTCTGTCTCCTGTTGTTTGAACTGCACGTGGGTAGTAGCTCTATGTCCTTATGATCAGGTGGGTAGTAGCTCTATGTCCTTATGATCAGGTGGGTAGTAGCTCTATGTCCTTATGATCACGTGGGTAGTAGCTCTATGTCCTTATGATCACGTGGGTAGTAGCTCTATGTCCTTATGATCAGGTGCTACCAACATGGAAATGAATCACGAAACAGAATAACTCAATAGGGGCGATTGTATTCTTTTAGGTTTGAATGTTAGCCCGTAATAAATATAGTTGCTCTAAATATCCCAGTGCTTGTATTTGCTGCTCCTTATATGCATACTGTAAACAAACCCAGAATGAAATTGATCCGTGTCTTCCTAGGGTTTGCATGTTTTATGTCTCTGCTGCTTTTCGGCTGGAGGCAGTTCCTGGGAGGTGGAACTGTGTAATGGAAAGAATAATCCTGGGGAGTCGGGAGCTCTATCTTAATGTCAGTACTTTTTATTCGTTAGCTTCTTTCCTTCCTCCTGTTCCTCCCTTTATATTTTTAAGGACAGGGGTCTCACTTCGTACTCCGTGCTATCTATACTGGCCTCAAAATGGCAGTAATTCTCCTGCTTCTGCCTCCCAAACTGCTGGGTGTACAGGTGTGTGCTACCGTACCAAATCTATATCTCTTTAAAATTATGCTCGCACACACACATGCCAGGGTGCACATGAGAAAGTTAGAACAACTTGGAGACTGTGTGGTCCCAGGGATGGGACAAAAGTTGGCTGTCTTGCATCTTATAAAATGATGTAATTGGTGAAGATTTTTGGAATCCGTTTTATATCTGTGCCTATGATTCTAATTTGGATATATAAGGAACAGTTCTATTCGTCAAGAGTTTTGTTTTGTTTTGTTTTGTTTTTTGGTGTTTGGTTCTTGGTATTGCAAAACAGGGTAGTGTCTCTGTGTAGTTCTGGCTGTCCTGGAACTTGCTCTGTAGTCCAGGCTGGTCTTGAACTCTCAGAGATCCACCTGCTTCTGCCTCCTGAGTACTGGGAATAAAGAAAGGCCTGTGCCACCACTGCCCAGCCTAATCCTCAATTTTAAAAAATTTTCAGTACTTTTGTTTATCCAATAGTAAGCTTTCTTTATTTGTATCAAACTTATGTCAAGCAATAGGTGCTTGACGAGAACAAAATGTTGACAGCAGGGTTTATTTTCAGCCGAAGATCTTCAGACTGGTCCTAGGGGTATTTACCAATCTGTACACGGTGCTTCTGGTAACGGCCTGAAGGTAGCTTGCGCTCTCCCCGCTGTCCTGTTGCTGTATCCCCTTCACGGTGGAGTCTCCAGCAGGGAACCAGAATGTCAGTTACACTTGCTGAACCTGAGTCTTGGGCTCATCTGCTACTGAAAATCTGCTGGGAGGAAGAACAGGAATAAAGCCCTGACGGTTCCTTGGAAGCTGTCCATTAAAGGGCTGAGAATGGCTCAGAAAGGGTTAGGCTGAGGTGTTCGTGGAAGCGCTCACCTAGTGTGCAAAGGGCAGTACCACTGTCTCCGTGTACATGAGTGCTCAGATCTGCTGGCCTGTAGACCCTGTGTAAATGCTTGTCGTCGTTGGGGTCTGATATCAGGACACTTTTTCTGCCTCTTTACGTCTTCAGAGTGTCGGAACTGAAAGATGACGAGCGCTGATGTGGTTTTGTGTGAAAAGTGTGTCCAAAGTCACCTCTGTTACAGACTCACTGCCTGGGCCTTGTTGTAAGAAGGAATCTCTTAGAAATGAGTCTGTGAGTGTTGAATGAAATGCCAAAGGTAGAAGAACTAACATTCATGACTTAATCAATTCTGTAAGTTTGGGACCCTGCTTTTGGATGAATACTTTCTTAGCTAGTAGTTTTAAAAGGTTTGGTTATGCTAATTAGTAAGTCGAAAAGTATAAATGTATAATGGGTAAAAGACTTTCTTCACGAATACTGCCTAGCCCAGAAGTGTCATTATTAGTTTAAAAACATACACGTGTATATTTCTTTTTTTTTTTAGGCTTATTTATTTATTTATTTATTATATATACAATGTTCTGCCTGCATTGCCTACACACTAGAAAAGGGCATTCAATCTCATTATAAGATGCTTGTGAGCCGCCATGTGGTTCCTAGGAATTGAACTCTGGAAGAGCAGCCAGTGCTCTTAATTTCTGAGCCATCTCTCCAGTCCCCACAAGTCTGTATTTTTAAATATGTACCTGCTTCTTTTTTTAAAAACTATCCAGATGACAGGCGTGGTGGTGCACTTTGGAGGTTGAGGTCGGCAGATCTCCAATTTCAAGGCCAATCTGGTCTACTTAGTGAATTCCAGGACTACACAGAGNAGGTTGAGGTCGGCAGATCTCCGATTTCAAGGCCAATCTGGTCTACTTAGTGAATTCCAGGACTACACAGAGAAACTCTGTCTTGTGGAGATAACGCCATACCCTCAAGCACGCACACAGCATAATATAACAATTTAATTTTAAACATTTGAGCTTTTAATTTTCTCTGTGTTCCAAAGTTCATCTTTAATATTTAACTTCTGTACGAGGATTCAGGCATGGAATTTCTGAATTGAAGTTGTGTGCTTTAGATTTTTCTATCCTGTGGGTGTTGGTGATTGAACTCCATCCTCTTGGTGATGGCAAGCATCTTGATAGTGGTACCTCCTCAGCCCAAAGGGTGTGACTTGTTTTGAGATACATACAGGGGTGGATGGGTGTGTGTGTGTGTGTGTGTGTGTGTGTGTGTGTGTTCATCTATTTCTACCTTTCTGACTCCGCTTTTGACATCAAATCTAAACATAAGGTTCAAAAGCTTGCTACAGTTTCCTTGCGTTTTTATATTTTTAGCTTTCCTATTTAGATAAATGACTCAATTTGAGTTTGCTCTTTTTAATTTTTTGACCCTTACCTGTGGGCCTATGTGTGGTGTGGGAGTATAGGCTTGTGTGTGTGTCGGCCAGAAATGAGCTTGTTCTCATTTACTTGGGTTCTTGGGATTGAGCCGTTTGCCAGTTACAGCAATTGGAGTTAATTTTTTGTAGGATTTTGGGTGGGGATCTAAGTTGTGTTGTTTCATAGCCGCTTAACAAACTGAATTTTATTAGTTTTTATTTCTTTGTTTTACTGTATGATAAATTTGTATGTAGTTGGACATGGTGGCACATGCCCTTAATCCCAGCACTCAGGAGGCAGAGGCAGGTGGATCTCTACGAGTTTGAGGTTAGCCAGGGCTACACAGAGAAACCCTATTTCAAAAAACCAAAAAGAAAAAAATAGTGTGTGTGCACAGAGCACATGTTGAGGTTAAAGACAATCTAAGTTAAACTTCCTCTCTGCCACTGAGCTACATGGAAACTTACAATGTCTATGATCCTAACACTCAGAAGGTTGAGGCAGGAGGATTACAAATTTGGAGTTAGCCTCAGCTATTTACTTGATCTTAAATAAAAAGATATGGGCTATACTGGGCAAGCTCTTTAGCCGTTTTTAATTTTCAAAGTTGGTGATGGAGCCTTTTCTTTTTTTTAGATTCCATGTGGGTGTACCCATGCTCCTGTCAATATTAAGGTTGGGAGGTTAAAGTCTTTGGGAGTTAGTTTCTGCTTCCACTTTGTTGAAGCAGGGTCTCCTTGTCCCTGCCTCTGGACAGTGGACCTCAGGCTAACTAGCACAGTGCTTTGAGCCAATTTTTCTATCTCTACTTCTAATCTCACCTGAGAGTGCTGGGGTCACAGATCTGCATCACCGCATCCAGGTTTTTATGTGTGTTCCAGGAACTGGACAGGTACAGCAGATGCTTTTGTCACTCGAAACATCTCCCCGGCTCAGGGAGTGGAGTTCAAGTTTCTGTGTATCAGCCTGGCTTGTAGGTCTTTGAAGTAACATCTCCCCTAGCCCAGGCTGGCCTGCAACTTGCTGTGCAGCTAAGGATGACTTTGTGCTCCTGCCTGCAGCTCCCAAGTGCTAGGATTACAGGCCCCAAGCCCGAGCTTTATAGATACATCCAACTCCTGTGCTTTTGTGAGCTGTCCCTGGGAATGTTCCTTTTGATGTTCCTGTAAATAGAATTGTTTTTTATTGTGGTGGTGGTATTTTTTATATATAGAAAAGCAATTGAAGTTTGTGTTCTTTAAAATGACCCGACTTATTAGTCTATTAGGTTTTTTTAGTAACTCTTTTAGTTTACTATATAAGTACATGTTTGTCAATTTTATTGAAAAGTTTATTGATTTTTGCTGATGATTATTTGAATAATCCTTTTAAAATCTTGGAATTTTTAGGTTGATAGAAAACTCTTCAAGATAGACAGGTTCCTTGAGTTTCCTTATGGCTTCTAGAATATAATCTGGGGGCTGGAGAGATGGCTCAGCGGTTAAGAGCACTGACTGTTCTTCCAGAGGACCCGGGTTTGGTTCCCAGCACCCACATGGCAGCTCACAGCTGTCTGAAAATGAAGTTCCACGAGATCTGACACCTTCATACCAATGAACATAAAGTTAAATAAATCATTAAAAAAGAAACCACCTACCTGTTAAAAAAATAGAATATAATCGGTAATTACAGTTATGAAAATTGAAACTAGAAGCCAACTGGTATGCATACTTTTAATCGAGCATTCGGGAGGCAGAAGTGGGAGGATCTCTATGAGTTCAAGGCCAGCCTTGTCTGCTTTGTGAGTTCCAAATTTATAGAAACTATTTGGGCAAAAGCAATAAAATACAATAGGATGGTGTCTATAAATAAGGTCGCTAGGAAAAGGACAAAACTTCCAGTGCTTTGCAGAGAAACTCTGTCTAGAAAAACTGAAAGAACAATTAGATGAACTTGAAGTTGGGATAAGTTTATTGGAATGGTTGCTATTTTGAGAGCAGATTTATTGTCCTTTATAATGTTAAATTTCAGATCGTCGCTTCTTAAAAGACACGTTGAATTGTACATGCGCGGGTGTGTGTGTGTGTGCAGGCAAGGGTTGCACATGCCGTAGCGCAGGTGTGGAAATCAGGATAGCTTTGTGCAGTCAACTGTCACCTTTGCACTTCGGTGTGGGTTTCAGGGGCCGAACTCAAGTCATTTATCCAGTGAGCCATCAGCCCTTACGGTGACTACTTGTTTGTTTAAGAAGCCCTGCTGTATTTAATTCCTACCTATATTCATTTTGTGTTTGAATGTGTGTACGTGTGCCCTGTCTCTCTCCGCCACGTGGGTCCCAGGGATCAGACTCGACAGAAAGTCCTTTATCCACTAAGCTGTCTCCCTGGCTCATTATCTGCTTCTATCTTGAATAGATTTTGAAGATACCAGAGACCCCGTCTGAATTTTTATATAAAATGTGATAGGGGGGCTGGAGAGATGGCTCAGTGGTTAAGAGCATTGCCTGCTCTTCCAAAGGTCCTGAGTTCAATTCCCAGCAACCACATGGTGGCTCACAACCATCTGTAAAGAGGTCTGGCGCCCTCTTCTGGCCTTACCAGACAGAATATTGTATACATAAAATAAAAAAAATGTGATAGGACAGTGTATGAAAATAAGTGTGCTGGGGACACGACAAGACTTTCATATCCTTTATACAGGAGTCCAGGCTGTATTGATGTATATGGAGAGGTCTTTGTATATTACACTCAGCATAGCAGATATTTGATATAAACAAATACACTCACTGAATACTGGTTAAATATGTAGAAAATATTGAACTTGAGAGATCAGTGTGGTTTTCTAGTTTGACACTGTGCTGATGTTTTCAGTAAGAAATTTTTTTTATAAATGTCTATTTATTTATTTATTATGTATACAATATTCTGTCTGCATGTATGCCTGCAGGCCAGAAGAGGGCACCAGACCTCATTATAGATGGATGGGAATTGAACTCAGGACCTCTGGAAGAGCAGGCAATGCTCTTAACCTCTGAGCCATCTCTCCAGCCCTAGTAAGAAATTATTTAACTTTAAGGTCTCTCTCACCTCTGTAAAAACACGGAGGCGTTGGCTTGAATGGTGGTCAGAGCCTTAGATTCAGTTAGGCATACGCCCCATTTCTAATGTTTGCAGAGATTTCAATCTTGTTTTTTATTAAAGTCTCGGGTTGTTTTAAAATGTTGGTACAATCATGGGACATTTGACTTTTCTCGAGTCTTTGATTTGTAATTTGGAGGGGTGGGTAGGCAGGGTTCTTACCAGAAGTGTGAAGGTCTCCCAGGGCTATTCAAATTTGTCACATAGTTGACACCTACTGATTTAGAGACTTAAAAGGTTTGGGGATGGATGCCCAATGCTGTTTCCACTTATTATTAATATTTAATAAGTGATAAGATAATAAGAGTAAGAGAATGTCACGGAATCCTGGGAGTGATTGAATGTTCAATCACGGCCTGGGAACTGAAGGTGTTGATCGTCCCCGTGTAACAGCAGAGGGAAGGTTTCTGGGCTAATTCCTGTCATCTATGGCTGGAGGCTCATCTGGTAACTTGTTTGTTACTGTCATGTAAGGTGGCTTCTCTGAAATGTACAACTAATTACCTCCACAGGAAGTGGCTGGAAGTTCATAGTCTGAAATTGGAATCAGCATTGCTTCTTAAGTTTATGACTGGGTTAAAAAAAAAGTTCCTGTTCATATTTCAAACTGTAATTATCTGACCTCCAGTTGTAGAGAACTGATGGGGTGGGAATCTCATAAAGCTGATTGATGAGTTAATTAATGAGACTAATCCAATGGTCGCTAGAGGTCCCACGTCAGGTAGGCACTGTGCTTCGTGGAGGAGATTGCTACAGAAAATGCATGGGGGCCTCACTCCTTCCAGTGGTGATCAGTTCCGCTTCTTCTGTGTCCTTCTAACCCTCTCCCTTTTCTGTTTTTAAAGAGTCGTGTTGGCAGAAATTGCCCGGGTGTGATCTGCTCTGCTGGTCCTTGTGCTCTGCTTTCCTTGTGCACGTGGGTGGAGCTGTTGGCTCTCGGGAGCATTCACTGTGGACTGTCAGTCTCTGGCTGTGCTTCCCCCTTAGTCCCTCATAGCCAAGCCTCTTCTTCATGCCTAAAACCGGCTCCCTTAACCATCAGGGACTTGGGCTCTGGAGGTGGTTGAGTGGCTGAGACCGCTTAGTTCTTCTTCCTCTCGCTTTGAGAACCTGAGAGATGAGGGAAAGTTCTGCATCTAATCCTGATCCTGCATTAACCCCACTTCCTCTCCACTGGCCGCTGTCGCAACGTGAGGCAGAACCTCTGGCATTCTTAACCTCTCTCAGGAAAGGTACTTCGTCGAAGGATAAGAACATCACCTTCAAAGCGTCAGCTTCTTAAGTAATGTGTTTTAGAGTAAATACGCAGCGTTGTGTGTTCCTGTCAGTTCACTGTGCTTTCTCTCCCTTTAGCCCCCCAGGTTCGCCTAATAGTCTTGGCTACTTCCCTACAGCCGCCAATCTTAGCAGTGTCCCGCCCCAGCCCGGCACGGTGGTCAGAGTGCAGGGCCTGGCCTACAATACTGGAGTTAAGGAAATTCTTAACTTCTTCCAAGGTTACCAGGTCAGTAGCTTGAGGAAGAACAATCCTCAGTGCCCTTATATTAAAATTGGTTTGCTGAGAAAAACGCAGCTAGGAATGGAATTGGTTCTCTGCAACATGTGTGCCTGTTGTGCTCGTGGGTTTTCTTGTCGAGGCATGAGATCGAGTCTCTGTTGAGGGCCTAGCTCCAGGCTCATCCTCTTGACAAAATTAGGACTTTCCTCTGCTGTCATAATTCTTGCCCCATAATCCTCTTTCCCTGTAATCCCGTGTGCCATGGGGAAGTTCCTGAGGGCACAGTGATTGCAGGTGTGTGCATAAGCAGCAGGCTTGCTAAGGGGGCGGTTTCCTTGGAACGGTCTTTTAATTCCTTGACTTAAAAAAAAGTTGTGTGTGCCTTTAATCGTACAAAAAGGTAGGCAGATCTGAGTTCCATTCCAGCCAGCACCACAAAAGTAAGTAAGTAGATAAATAAGAGTGGGGCTTGAGAGGTGACTGGCTGGCAGCTAGGGCTTCCTGCTCTTGTGGAGGGCACCAACCCACGTGACTGAAGTCATCAGTCACTCCAGCGCCAGAGATTCAGTGCCTTCTTTTGGCCTCAGGAGGGCATCAGGGGTGCACAGGCAAATGACTCATATACATAAAATAAAATTTTGTTTTGTTTTGAGATAGAGTCTCACTATGCAGCCCTGGCTATCTTGGAACTCACTCTGTAGAGCAGGTTTGAACTAAAAAAGACTCGCCTGCCTCTGCCTTACAAGTGCTGGGATTAAAGACATACACCACCACACCAACTTTATTTTAATGTATTTTATTTTTTTTTAAGAAGGTGCTTACCAACCAAACCTTGTGACCTGACTCGTGGAAGTTGTTTTCTGACTTCACAGCATGTGCACTTTCCCAGACACACACAGAATAAGTAAATGTCATCTGAAACCATTTAGATAAATAAAAGGGGTTGTAGGAGTATGCAGCTTAGTGGTAGACTGCTTGTCCAGTCTCCAGTACTGCAAACAATAAATGGACATTTAAACGTGGAGTTTCAAGTTGAGTATTTCAAAACCAGGAAGCCTCTTCTAATGGCTTTGGGGAAAATCTCTGTATAACCTTGGAAAAAGAAAACAGATACCTACCCCCAACTAACAGACTTGTTCAAGGCCTTGACCTGGAGGGGGCGCATGGCCTCCACGAAATGACCTGGTTCTGCTGCCTCTGGCTTTGCTCTCCATCCTGCCTGTGCCTGCACCCATCACTGTCTCTGACTTTAAGAACAAGCTTTCTTGGCAACAGGTTTGTAACAGCGGATAAAATCTGTTCTTCCCAGTTCATCTCAGCAAACCCCGGTCCTTCTTGAAGTCACTTGATTAAAGTCAAAGACACTTCTGCAGTATACAAACCAGTAACTTGAAGTCTTCCTGGCCTGAGCAGATACTGTCCTCTTTCCTTCACTGTCCTAAGGACAGCTTCTGTCAGTGAGAAGAACGTTGCCTTTTCTTCCGTAAGAACTCGGGGTCTCGATGGGTCAGTCAGTATCTCTCTCCAAATGATTATTCAGTTTCTGAAGGACCTTACATTCCTCCTCCTCCTCTGATTAAATTATACAGCCTTCTGTGGTTCTGCTTTTTTGTTTTGATTTTTTGAGGCAGTTTCATTTGTATAGCTCTGCCTGTCCTGGAACTCTCTCTGTAGACTGGGCTTATCTGGAACTCAGAGCCGCCTGCCTCTGCCTCCCGCGTGCTGGGATTAAAGGTGTGCACCACCACCAATCGGCAAATTAAACAGTTTTTACTAGAAGTGAACTGAAAAGGTTACTCAGTCTTATGAAGAAAATACTTTGACTTTTGTATTTTTCCTTTGTAGAGACTCTGAAGAATTTTCAAGTTTAATGGCCAGCTGGGCTTAATGGTTTTAGCTTGGTTTGAACTAATTTCATTTGCTTTCATACTGAGTAAAATTAATCCGCCCTACACATACAATAATAATGAGATTAAGTAAAATTAATCTTATGTAAAAAGTACCATGGTTGGCAATTATAGATACTGATTTCCCCCAAACACATAATTAGGATTACGTCTAGATTTGTGATGAAAGTTCTGACACAGACAGACAGGATGGCTCAGAGGGCAATGGTGCCTGTCGTCAAGCCTGAGTGTCTCAGCCCTCGAGCTGGAGAACCAACCCCAAGAGTTAGCCTCTGACTCCACCTAAGCATGCCTGTGTGTATGCACCTACATGTGCAAAATAAAAAGTGAGAAAGATTTAAAACTTTAAAAATCTGGCGTTGTTCAGAAATAACTCGTGTTGAGTAGCTCCTAGAGTCATCAGAGTTAGATTCATCTGCTGTAATCAGAAGCACCGTGATGGTACGTTTATTTCTTCTAGATATTTTGCTCTTTGGAAGTGTTTGGAGCTTACTCTTATTTTCTTATTTATTAAGTTAGTTTGAGAGACACTCTCCTGTAGTTTGGCTGGCTATAACTTACAGTTATGTAGATCAGGCTAGCCTATAACTTACCGTGATCCTCCGGGCTCTGCTTCCCTAGTGCCGAGCTTAAAGGCACGTACGGCACACCTGCTGAAGACTTAGAATCTATAAACTGGATCATCAAATTGGGATGGCTTTGGAACTCATTCATCCCAACCTATAGTTCCAGTGTCTCCTCCCTTCAGTAATTCAAGCTGTGAGACACGAATTCAACTCTATACCTAACCCAGTTTCTTCTCATTCCTACATAAAACTTAGATTTCCTGCTACCATTTCAATAGTCCACCTTCTCTGCTGTTGGCTCTTCAGGTAACCGTTGGTTCCTGTGGGCTCCTGAGTGCCTTGTCTCTGCCACAGGTGGTGACGTCTGTCGATGGCCTCTTCAGAACTGTTCCCTTGAGTAGAGACTGTTTATCTTTGCCTGCAGTGTACTTGATTGCTATTGGACAGTTTTTATTTGCTCTTGTTTAGAATCATCCTCCCTTCTTCTCCACCCCCCTCCTTTTTTTTCTATTCTGTCAGGATTTAAGTGTCTAGCCCTGGCTGGCCTGGAACTCACTCTTTTGACCAGGTTGGCCTGGAATTTACAGAGATCACCTGTCTCTGTCTTCCAAATGCTGAGACTATAGGAATGCATCTCAGTGCTGGTTACTGTTGTGAATCTTAATGACATATTTTAACATTATTTCTGGTTCTTTCTGGTGAACTTTATAGGATTATGATTACTGATTAATTTTATATGCTTACATAGTAAGCAAATATCCAGGAAATAATTGGTTGAATAAATGAAGTTTGCCAATGGTGTCCAATTTTATCTTTTAAATGAATATAAAACTTGGTGTCAAATGTCATTTTAGAAACACATTATCTTTGGGTGTGGTGGTGCACACCTTTAATCCTAGCACTCAGGAGGCAAAAGCAGGTGGAAGGCCAGCCTGGTCTACAGGACAGGCTCCAAAGCTACACAGAGAAACCCTGTCTCGAAAAATAAACAAACAAAAAGAAAGGTTATATGTAGTTTGGATCTAGGCTACGGGATAGAGAGGGAGCGGAATTCTGAGGGTCAGATGCTTTGACAGCATCTGACAGTTGTTAGAGGGCCGATAGGGCAGGGAATTGAAGACACTGGCATCTTGGATGGTGGATTGCTCATCTCCTGGGGACTCTCATTGCTGTTTTCCTTAGCCGTTGCTCTCAAGGGCCTTGAGTTTTAAATAAATCTAGCTTCCTTTCCAACATTCTGACTTTGGGTCTTTCGATGACTCATTAAAAATTTTTATTTAGGGGCTGGAGAGATGGCTCAGTGGTTAAGAGCATTGCCTGCTCTTCCAAAGGTCCTGAGTTCAATTCCCAGCAACCACATGATGGCTCACAACCATCTGCAGTAAGGTCTGGTGCCCCCTTCTGGCCTTCGGCATACACACAGATAGACTATTGTATACATAATAAATAATAAATAAATATTTAAAAAAATTTTTTTATTTAGTATTCAACTGAGAATTTATTTCAGTAGTTTATTTCAAATTTAAAACTATTTAAAATTCACTGGGTTTGGGAGTTTAATGTATAGTGCCTGACAAAGTGATC